TGTACTCTGAATTTACACACCAAGATTGGCTCTCAGACTCAAAAATCCTGAATTTGCACACTGAGATTAATTGTTAGACTCAATCCTGAGTATTTCACGAGAGGGCATGGGTTTTACAGTAAGCTGAATGCAATCTTTGCCAAGAGTTGAGCCACACAGCTAGAAATTTCATCTGAATTCTAGAGTTTAAATATTTGTCTCCAAAATTCCAGGGACACTATAAATGATTGGTGAGCACAATTTTCTTAACTCCTAGTCAGTTCTTCTGGAAAATGAGCCATACTCATGGGGCTGAAGCGTGATTATTTAGATACACCCTGAGGGATTTATTTTGAAGGGAGAAAGGTAAAGCGTGTAAATTGCTCCTGAAATAGTGACTCCAGGAATCACCACGTCATTCTCCAAAAGTTACAATTTCATTTAACACAGCAAAATTCCATCCAGGCTGAAGGTTCCCTCTACTTAATCTGTTCAAATTTTGACACTTCCTTGAATCTATTTTTTTTCCTTTGGTGCAATTCTATTTCCAGCATATTCAAAAAGTCATATAACAGCAGTAAAAAGGTTCATCTTGTAAATCACTGGTTGTCGCACTAGCTGTGTCTACCAGAATCCTTTAATGCCCCACAGCCTTTAACCTGAGGAAGGAAGTAGCTTAGTAAATCTTTCTACTCTACTTCATTTTCTTCTCAATATCACATAAAATGGAGATGAGGAAGGGGTCATGCATGAACGTAAAAAGTTAGCCTTGTTTCCTTCACCCTTGACTCTTGTCTTACAAAGTTCATAGGAAAACTTGCACTGATGCCTGCAGGCCAATGAGCTCTTATGTGCAAGGTAATGAGGTATTTATGGGCACTGCCTGTGAGTCTGTAACGGTTTCAAAATAAAACGTTAGAAAATCGGCCACTTTTTCCCAAGAGGCAAGTATAAATGCCACTCCTAGAGATTTGATGACTTCTTCAGTACAAGGATCACTAACACTAAGTGGAAAAAAATAAACAAACAACCCAAAAAGTCCTTCAATTCATTTTCCTCTCTAGTTTACTCTTACTATGTTCAAAGTTTTAATCCTCATTAATGACAAAATGAGAGAAATGGATATTGTTTCTGGAAATGTCCAGGTTTTTTCAGAATAGTAAGAACTTGGTTCAACTATCATTTTCTCTTTTCTAGTACTCCATACATCTATAGTAGAGAATCACTGACGTTTATCATAACACTTAGAAACTGCAAGATCTGGAAATGCTTTCTGAATGGCCAAAAGAAATGCTATGTTGAATAGGATCTGAATGTTGAAGTATGTTTTTTCCTAAAACTTTTTGTTATGAGAATTTTCATATATACTGAAATGTTGAAATATCATCATAGACACTAGTATACTGTCTTAAATTCAATAATTGTTGATTTTTGCTGTATTTTCTTTCACTCTCTCCCTATTTGCACACATGCCCACATACACACACTTTTTGTTGTTGTGTAACTATTGGAATGTAAGTTGCAGACATTATGACCTTTGTTGATATGTATTTTAATGTATTCTAATTCTATGAAATGTAGTCATTTATATATAAAGTACATGGTATTACATCCATTTATAAAATAAATGGTAATTTAAAAATATTTTATTATAATTACATGTTAACTTCCCACAAGGATATTTTATTAGCCAAAATACCCAATTGTCTGTATACGACAATGCATTTTACATTCATTCTCAGTATTAACTCTGTCCTGTACCTGACCACTAATGTGATATGGCTCTCTCCAAAAGAGCTGGTAGTTTAGTCTGTCTCCCCATGGGTACAGTATTTGTCTATCACCCACACAAATGATTGTCTAACAGATTCTCAGTGATGATCTGGGTGTTTTATGGGGGAATAAGTCTCTTATTGCCAGTGTAAATAAAATCCTTCCCAAAATATTAAGCTATGGGAAATTAATATTTATATTTAACAATTAACATTAAGCTTAAAATAGTAAAATATTAAGCTATGAGAAAGGTACTTACTATTGCCACAAAATGACATGTGGGTAAACTGTCCTGAAAAAGTATTTAAACAGATCTTGGGAAAGAGGTTTATCAAAAAATTATCAAATAATTAACTGTAAAAGAGAGAGAAAACCTTTCTTGGACTTAAAAACAAACAGATATGAATTTAATCAATCACATAAACTGGATGAGTTTTCTCATGTTTATTAACTTTCTTGAATGTGATATAAGTGTTACTCATCTTCAGATAAAATATTGAATAGAATACTTTGAAATTCACCTTAGAGATCCTTTCTTATAGATAATATTATGGGTGGAATTGTGTCCCCTCAAAAAGATATGTTGAAGTCATAACTCCTAGTACTACAGAATGTGACCTTATTTGGAAATTGAACTGTTGTTTAGATATATGTAGTTAATTTCAGATGAGGTCATACTGAAGTAGGCTGGGCCCCCAGTCCAATAGGACTGGTGTCCTCATAAGAAGAGGGAAATTTGGACACAGACATGCTTAAGGGGACGATTATATGAGAATGTGTGAGAAGACGGCCATGTGACAAAGGAGGCAGAGCTTAGAGTGATGCATCTACAACAAGGAATGCCAAGCAATTGCTGGAAGTCACCAGAAGCAAGAGAGAGGCATGGAACAAACTTTCCCACAGCATCCTTAGAAGGAATCACCTCTGCCAACACCTTGATTTCAGATTTCTAGCCTTCAGAACTGTAAGAGAATAAATTTCTGTTGCTTTAAGCCTGTTTGTGGTAGTTTATTATGGCAGCCCCAGGTAACTCTCACAGATAGATGATAGATAATAGACTAACTTTCAGACCTCTTAGATTTAGGTCTAGTCATAAAATGAAGACCTGAGGATCTATCCAGCGAAGTAGCATAGAGGGCCCTAAGTTGTTAGTTGAAACACATAAAATTTGGCATTTTTGTAGGGAAAAAATGGTTTAACAGAGGCAATTTTATGTGGCTTGATTTAATAGATAGATTACATAAATAAATCAAGTTTTCTGAAGTCCCCTTCTGCCCTCAAGAGCAGATCCTTGGCTGAATTATTTTCCCTGCATCACTTTCTCTCTATAAATAGATTCTTAGACTTCATTCATTTCATTTAGATCAGGAAATTTCCATCTCCATGACCTATACAGAATGAAACACTGGAGGCAATTGCTCTTTGAGGTTTTGCCTGCAATTGCTCTCGTTTACACATCTCTGTGCATGGTTTATTCCAGCAGACAATCCTGGGAATTCTATCTAATTCATGTTCAAGGCTGAGGTTTCTCCAGGGGATTTTCTCTCATTCCATTTGGCACAACAGTAACTGTGTTTGACAACATCTGCCTTACAGCACTGCTCTGCAGCTCCATCTGTCATTTGGTTCCCATCCACATTCTATTCCTGCCTGTCTTCTGAGGAAGATGTTTCCACAACAGAGGTGGAGAAGAGAAGACAGCAAGGGCAAACAAGAGCTTTACTTTCTCTATGAATATGATTCGTGGACCTGCCTAACGTCTTCACCTATCTCTTATTCCAATCCATCCACAGATTTTTGACATAAACGAGCATTCTCTAAACCAGCCTTTTGTCCTTTGGGACTCTCAGCATTCACAAGTCATTTCTGAATGTTTATTTTTTGGACTTTCATGTATCTTTCAAAGTTTCCTCAACTATGAAACAAAAATAACCACTCACAAATTTTACTGAAATTTTTTTAACCAGCAAGAAAGGATACAACCAAGTTCAAAAACATCTCGTGTGTGACTACTGCTAAACCATGCCAATTTATTTTTATAAAAAGTAGCTATTCAACAGGAAATTCTATTTCATAAAATTTTTAATGATCCTTAATTCAAATAAACTCTGTAATAGGATTTTGATTTAAGAGAAAATTCCAAACCTTACCAATCAAAAGATTCCTCTACATTCTGGGATAACTTAAATCAATGCCTACACCAAACAAGAAATCCAGAACATAGAGTTTATCAGTAGCAATTGCCATTTAAATTATTACCTACTTCAACAAACCATTTTTTTTTTACTTTGCTATGGCTTTAAACTCTAACAAATTGTTTCGAAATGTCATTCCACTTCTACTCGACTAAAAACCCTGTGCCATTATTCTCGTCTTCATCAAACGAGACTGTAAAATTTCCCTGTGCCAGACAATATATAGACAGCCGGTGACGTTACGCTGCCTTTAGGAAAAAAAATCTTTTGACCTAAGGGAAGTATTATTTGACTTCAAAATTTATGATACTTCTCTTTCAACATACTTTACAACTGGGTTTCTAGAAGTATATATATTTCACATATTTGTTCACACAAAATTTGCGAAAGAAAGGATGTGCTATAAAAGAATATGTTGCCATTATTGACGTTTTATAAGGGGAAATCACCTAAGGACAGAAAGTGCAAGCAGAGCATTACAACGACAAATACTCTCTGGGTGCCGTGAGTATTACCTTGGGCTCTAAATACCTTTGTATTTAGAAATTTCACCTGCTGCATTTCTTGCTCATTGCAGATAAGCCTAAGTAATTTTTGTCCCCTCACCTCTCCTATAAGTATAGGGCAAAAAGAAGAAATCTCAAAACACGATCCTTCCTTCTTGTTCCAACACAAACTTCTTAGATGGCAGGTTCAGTCCTAGAAACATCAGCACTTGCCCAGCTGGCCTTTACTGAAGCAAACCCATCACTGGAAAATCTAGGCATATTTGTATAGCCAAAAGCATGACTGGCGTACAAACCCAGGTTTACCTGCCAGCTCTGCATGTTTTCCTTTCCATACTTCTCCCCACAACCTCATCCGATCTGAGATCCAGTCGCTTTCAGGCACACAGTTTCCATCAGACGCAACCCACTTGATTGCACTTTCACAATCAAGATTCAAATGAGTTCACTGCACATGGCAGCTCTCTGGTCCCTTTGTCCTTTGAATCAGGGCTCCTCCAGGTCACAGATCCCTTAGAGATGCTATTATATAATGAAATAAACTTACTGTTTTCTTTAACACTTTGAGAGCATAAGGCTTCTGGGTCCCCTTCTGTTTGCATCTGTACACAATGGATGTAGCACCCCTTGAGGGGGAAAAAGACAAAAAGAAAATGTTATGCTCTGGACATGAAATAAAAGGGAAAGCTTGAAAATAAGTATCTCTTGCAGTGCCCCTCATAACTGACAAGTGTTTATAAGTTCTACTGCAGGACTTGCCCAAATGTCAAGAGTACTTTTTCTCTTGCAACTGAATATAGCTTGCTCAGAAAAATTCTGGGTTTTCCCATCTGCTCTTTTCTTCCTGCCCCACCCTGATGTAAGTAACAAATCTAGGGCTCTTGCATTCAGTGGCTCTGGAATAAACCAGGTCCTTGGATGAACATAGCTTTTGGAGCACACGAACCTAATTTCAGAATCCCTGAGCTTTCCTAAGGGTATATATCTGGAGTAAAAGAAGGCATATGGCTTCAGAGAGAGGGTTTAAGTTTAGCACTCAGCTATAAGGGTCAGAACAGTATCCACCAATTGGCAAGGGTACTGGGGACCCTTGAGAATTTACAACACTTCATTTGAAGCCCAGGCATTCTCCCAGAGCCGTTGTTGGCCCCTTCGAGACTCTGGTTCCTTCATCCTGGTGAATACTGCTACCACTTATTTACACATGCACTAACAAAAATAATTACATGAAACATTCAGGGGGAAATACTATACAAATGCTTAAAGATATAGTGAAAAAGGAGAGCTATCCCTCCATAAAAAACTTGGAGAAGTACAGAATGTTTTTTTACCTGTAAAGGAGAATGGTAAGAAAAGACTCAATAACTATCTTCATCTATGTGTGAGGATACTAAAGGAGAATATTAAAAAGCAGGACAGGCTGGTCCTGTTACTCCCTCTCCACCCATGAGAGCAAGAGTAAGAGAAGGAGACAGATGAAGAGACTCATAGACCAAGCAGGCTTGTTTCAGCCTCAAAAGGAGAACTTCAGATACATCTTAAAATAGGATCACTTGAAGTAAATCTGTCAGACTTTGAAGATTAAGCCAAAGGACCTCATATGATATATTCAGGCTTTTGGTTCTGAAATTCTAAGTGAGCATAAAAGAATTATACAAATCAAACATATTCCCAGCTGTCTAAGCACAACAAATTTTCAACAGAGCCAAGAGGAGTCAGGGACTGGTGTTGTAGATGCTAATAAAAAAAAATTTTCAACATATTTTTTAAAACTTTGGTAAAATACAACATATATGTAAAAAAATAAGGGGTTCTAGAAACAGAATAAATGGAAGTAAACATAAAATTCATCTCTCCTTATTTTTAATTGCTCTAAAAGACAATTACCTAAAGTAAAAATACTAGCAATGCTTATAGCATATGTAGAAATAAAACGTGTGACAACAAAAACACAAAGATTATGAGGAATAAATTGGAAGAACAGTGTTAAGTCCTCATACTATGTTAAGTAGTATGATATTATTTAAAGGTAGACTCTGATTAATTAAAGATGTATACTGTGTAACCTAGGGCTTACGTTATGAATAAAATAATTTTTAAAAGAAAAATTAATAATAAATCAATAACAGAGCTAAAACAGAAAAATCAAAAATGAAATGAAAGGGAGAAAAAACAAAGTAAGAGATTAAAAATAAAAGCTAACAATATGGTAGATTTTAATCCAATCATATTAATAATTACATTAAATGTAAACTTTATAAACACATCAACTAAAAATAAAGATCAGGTGCCAATCATGTGGCCGAGTAGTTAAGTTTGCGTGCTCCACTTCGGCAGCCTTGGGTTTTGCCAGTTTGGATCCTGGGTGCAGACATGGCACTGCCCATCAGGTCATGTTGAGGCGGTGTCCCATACAGCACCACCAGAGGCTCTCATAACTAGAATACACAACTTTGTACCAGGGGGCTTTAGGGAGAAGAAAAAAAAAGATTGGCAACAGATGTTAGCACAGGTGCCAATCTTTAAAGAAAAAAGAAATAAAGATCATTAGATTGGATTGAAAAATGAAGGCCAAACTATACGCTGTGTACAAGAAGCCCATTTTAAATACAAAGCATAAATAGGTTAAAAATAAAATGATAGAAAAGAGATACTATGCAAACACTAATCAAAAGAAAACAAGAATGGCTATATTAATACCAGGTCAACTAGACTTCAGAGCAAGGATAAAGAGGGACATTACTTAAACACGAAGGGTTTGATTTCTCAAAATGACATAACAAAATGTAAATGTAAGGTGTATACATCTAACAACGGCACTTCAAAATACATGAAGCAAAACTGAGAGAACTGAAAAGAGAAATAGACAAATTCACAAATATAGTTGGAGACTTCAACAATCCCTCTCAGAACTGATAAAAAAAGGTGACAAATTGTGACTGAGGATATAGAAAACATGAAGAGCTATCAACTAAATTGACCTAACTGACATTTAGAGAAAACTCCATACAAAACCAGCAGAATACACATTCTCTTCAAAGTCAGAGGACTCCATACAGGACTTCTAGACTAACTACAAAGCTGCAGTAATCAAGAGAGTGATATTGGAGCAGCAACAAACATAGAGCTGGGGGGAAACAGAAAAAAGAATCCAGAAACAGTCTCACAGATATATGGCCAACTGGTTTCTGACAAAATAAAAAGGCAATTCAGTGGAGAAAGGATAGGTGGTCTTTCCAACTAAAAATAGTCCTGTAATATTAGACACCCATATGCAAAATAAAAATAAAAATCTTTATTAATACTTTACACTCAATACAAAAAAATACTTAAAATGAATCATAGATGTAAATGTAAAACTTAGAACTCTAAAACTTTTTTAAAAAAACACAGAAGAAAGTTTTGTGACCTTCAGTTAGGAATGATTTTTTACATACAAAACCAAAAACACAATAAATTAAAAAACAAATAAATAAATTGGACTCCATTTAAATTAAGAATGTTTATTCTCAGATAGTCACAGACAGGGAGAAAATATTTACAAATCATGTACTTGACAAAGAACTTGTGTTGAAAAATGAGGACTCAAAATCACATAATCGTCTCAATAGATGCAAAGACAGCATTTGACAAGATCCAACATTCATTTATGATAAAATCTCTCAATAAAACGGGTATAGAAGGAAAGTATCTCAACATAATACAGGCCATATACGACAAACCCACAGCTGGAGGTTTTGGCCAGAGCAGTTAGGCAAGAAAAAGAAATTAAAGGTATCCAAATTGGAAAGGAAGAAGTGAAACTCACATTTTTTTTTTTGCAGATAACTGTTTGAAGATAATATGATTCTATATACAGAAAACCCCAAAGGATAAACCAGAAAACTACTAGAAATAACCAATAACTACAGCAAAGTTGCAGGATACAAAACCTACTTACAAAAATAAGTTGCATTTCTATACACTAATAATAAACTATTAGAAAGAGAAGTCAAGAATACAATCCCATTTACAATCTCAACAAAAAGAATAAAATATCTAGGAATAAATTTAACCAAGGAGGTGAAAGACCTATACACTGAAAACTGTAAGACATTATTGAAAGAAATTAAAGAAGATATAAAGAAATGGAAAAATATTCCATGCTCGTGGATTGGAAGAACAAACATAATTAAAACGTCCATCTTACCAAAAGCAATCTGCAGATTCAATGCGATCCCAATCAGAATCCCAATGACATTCTTCATGGAAATAGAACAAAGAACCCTAAAACTTATATGGAAGAACGAAAGACCCCAAATAGCCAAGGTAGTTCTGAGAAAAAAGAACAAACCTGGAGGCATCACAATCCCTGACTTCAAAATATATTACAAAGCTATAGTAATCAAAACAGCATGGTACTGGCACAAAAACAGACACATAGAACAATGGAACAGAATCAAGAGCCCAGAAATAAACCCACATCTCTATGGACAGCTAATTTACGGCAAGAGAGCCAAGAACACACAATGGAGAAAGGAAAGTCTCTTCAATAAATGGTGTTGGGAAAACTAGACAGCCACATGCAAAAGAATGAAAGTAGATCATTACCTTACACCATGCGCAAAAATTAACACAAAATGGATTAAAGTCTTGAATGTAAGACTTAAAATCATGAAACTCCTATAAGAAAATACAGGCAGTACACTCTTTGACTTTGGTCTTAGCAGCATCTTTTGGAATACCGTATTTAGTCATGCAAAGGAAACAAAAGAAAAAATAAACAAATGGACTACGTCAGACTAAAGAACTTCTGCAAGACAAAGGAAACCAGGAACAAAATGAAAAGACAACCCACCAACTGGGAGAAAATATTGGCAAATTTTTCTGACAGGGCGTTAATTCCCCCAATACATAAAGATCTCATACAATTGAACAACAAAAAAACAAACAACCCAATCAAAAGATGGGCAGAGGATTTGAACAGATATTTTTCCAAAGAAGATATACAGATGGCCAAGAGGCACACGAAAAGATGTCCGATATCACTAATTATTAGGGAAATGCAAATCAAAACAATGAGATATCACCTTACACCTGTCAGAATGGCTATAATTACCAAGACAAAAAATAACAAATGTTGGAGAGGATGTGGAGAAAAGGGAACCCTCATACACCGCTGGTGGGAATGCAAACTGGTGCAGCCATTACGGAAAACAGTATGGAGATTTCTCATAAAATTAAAAATAGAAATACCATACGATCCAGCTTTCCCACTCCTGGGTATTTATCAAAAGAACTAAAAAAGCAACAGTTCAAATAGATTTATGCACCCCTATGTTCATTGCACTGCTATTCACAGTAGCCAAGATGTGGAAGCAACCCAACTGCCCATCAACTGATGAATGAATAAAGAAGATGTGGTATATATATACAATGGAATACTACTCGGCCATAAAAACGACAAAATTGTCCCATTTGCAATAACATGGATGGACCTTGAGGGTATGATGTTAAGTGAAATAAGCCAGACAGAGAAAGACAAACACCACATGATTCTACTCATATGTGGAAGATGAACAAACACATGAATAAAGTGAACAGATTAGTGATTATTAGAGGGGAAGGGGGTTGGTGAGTGGACAAA